TTAGAAAACATATTTTTGTTGTAGGTTGATGACCAATTGTTTTGTGGGTTCTGTGACGAGAAATTGGATTGGAGAATTCGGAAAAATATCACAGCTCACACCAAGTCCTCAAAACATATTAAGGCAATGGCAGTCGTCAAAGAGAAAGACAGTAAGTGGTCCCTTTTATTCAAATTTTAACGAGATTTTGATTCCTTCCTGCAATTGAAGCTATATTTTTGGTCTCATAACATGGAACAGAAAATGGCGCAAAACTAAACAGGGACTTAATCTCAAAGGACCCTACATGTATAGTGTTGTTGTCCGGTTAACAACAATACCCTTGAAACTGTTTGGCTGTGATAACTACGATGCCTTCCTTTTTGTTCACAAGATAAAGGTTTAAATGGTAATGTTGTGAATTAGACATGCCACTCTATAAAAGGAGGGTCACTAGAAACTTCAACTACAGTCCCTTTAAAGCATCTTATTTAGAAGAAGTGGTTAACGATACAGTTGATGATGCTGATTGGTTGGACGATTCAGAAGATTTGATTGAAGATGTTGAGGATGAAGACGAGGATGATGAGGATGAAGATGACGACGAGTATGAGGTCAGAATGAGGGGAGGAAAGCTAGTCTCATAATTTCAGCATCTGAGCAATATTATTTTCATTTTGTTATCGGAGATTATTGCATCGATTATGGATCAGCATTTGGAGGTTGCTCGGATAGTAAAATAAGAAAGAATGTCGTTTGGATACAAAAATTATATGGTTTGTTTCATTATATGGTTTGTTATCGGTGATTATTTGGAGGTTGCTCGGATAGTAAAATAAGAAAGAATGTCGTTTGGATACAAAAATTATATGGTTTGTTTCGTCCCGTCGAAGAAGACTTTTTCTATGTGCGGAATACAATTAGACTGAACCTTGCCTCCTTCTCAAATTTTGTGATAAATTATTCAACTCTCGAAATGGCCCCACACTAAAAAATATTTAATCAAAAAGTTAAAACTTCTCATACTTAGCTGTCATAGCTCTTTGATTGTTTAAAAATACAACTGAAACTTCTTTTTAAGATTGAAAACCCACCAAAACGTATCAGCAAGAAGACTGGAGGGCCAACATCCTCTAGAATATCTTTGAAAACTAGACTTGAGCAATTCAATGACCTCGTGGAGTTCGAGGGAGAGGTCGTGTGTCGAATCTGCAAGGTGGTCCTGGAGTGGACAAAAAGATCAAGGATCAATGATCATATGCGATCTCAGAAACATATAAAGGCAGCGCGGAAAATGGCAGATTTGCAAGTTCCGCCAGAACTTTCTGATGCTGAAAGGTATTTTTTATTTTTTTCTACTTCTAATTTGGCGTAAAAGAATCAAACCTGATCTTTTTTTCGGGGGGGAAAACCAAAAAACGTATGCATGACATTCAGTGGAGCGGGAGAGTGTGGTATTGTGTTTGTGTGTGGGGGGGTTAGCCAAAATGAGTTTATTTCATAAACCTCTTATTTATGTCAAATAATGCTTGGCCGGTTAATAATTTTGTTTTGAGTGAAGTCTCTATAATTGTTGTTTAAATGTTATGTTTTAGTTAAGAATTTTGACCAAAAACTTGCTATTTCATTGAAAACTCTTAACATAAGATTTTTCAACACGCTACTCTGATTAATTCAAGGTTTTGCGTGCTGCCGACGCCCCAAAATCTTTTCTATACGGCTGTTAGAATCTATTCATATATTTAGATTTTCCCGAAACCGCTGTGCTTTCTTGTACTTTTGCTATAAAATATATGTTTTTCTTCCGAAATAGCTTGATATAACAAAGACGAAATCTAAATATATTTGGGGTTTACAGGATCCATTCAAGAATAGATATATAAACGGGAAAAGTAATTATAAATTAAAATCATTATAAATCAATGCAAGCTACAATTCTTACAATGTTTGTAAATGAAAAAATTATCAGAATATATTAATTTTGTCTATTCCCACCATCAAACACAAGACAAATGCATTAAAAGAGGAGTATTGAGGCAAAAACCAGTCACACCCCCCCCCCTGACCCACTTAAATACCCCACGGGGGGGGGGATTGCATGTTCCTTTCTGTATTTAAAATTTAATTGTTTCTCTTTCAAACCAAAAAAGTTTCCACATTTTGCCGAAACATATTTCAATGGTACAGTGAACGTAATGGTCAAAAAGTGGTTTGTATAGTTTCACTTAAAACTTATCTAATTTTTCTATGCACTAGATACTATAAGATTCAACATCATATATAACATCAAATCATCAAAATACATCATAGGAATTGAGTCTTTGCCACAAACTCAACTTTTCTATTTCTTTGGAAACCGATGTCATTGACCTTTTATAATTTCAGCAATTAATTCTGTTAGATCAATTAGTCTAAGTTTGACATATCAAACTCAGATTTAAAATATATAGGGATGAGAAATTTAGAGTTTGGGGCAAGAACTCAGTTCCTTTTCGAAAAAATGATAAGTTTAAATAACATAACTATTAAGTTCAAGCTAAAAATAATATATTAGCTACTGATGGCATTCTACAATCTAGGTTTCGTAATTGTCCATTTCTTTTTCTCAACTCGGATTTCAAAGTTTATAAATGAATGGAAATTTTTTTATGATAAAAGTTTTAGGGGGTTTTGTTCGGTTGTTTCGAGGGTACTGTTTTAAATCGGATATACCCATATTTTATATCTTGTTTTACTTGAAGTTCCAAGTACAGTATCTGTAATAACAATGAAATAAATAAATAGATAAATAAATAAATGATAGAATTAAGTTTGCAATTAAAAACACTGAAAAATCAAAGTTTGCTTTCTAGTTGAAGAAAAAAAGTGTTTACTCATTTAGCTGAACCGAAGAGTAATTAACACTAATTACCAGAAATCTATCATAATTATTAATAATAATTAGGAACAAATTACAGGTCTAATTCTTAATTATGGTTTTTAACCTTTTTATCAATATCTGTATATCAATATATACAATAAACAAACCTTTGAGATGTTTTTCAATGAATTATTTATTTAAGGTATTTAAGATCTTCAACAGCGATTCTTCTTTTTTAAGGCTTTTTATTTTTTCTTTACGAAAAGATAATAAAAATAACTAAATTTTTCAATGGTTACAACAATTTACAATGGTCGCATGGCTTCTTTAGAATTAGAAGGAACCCGTTTTCCATTATGTCGAACAAAAAATTGCCGTAATTGATCTTTATACAATATGTAGGTATAAACTCAAATTTGGCGACATCTATTCACCTCTTTTATTAAATATCTATTAATGCAACTTGTCTAATCGGGACATTATGGTTTTGCCGGGATTTGAAGTTTTTTGTTTTTTAAATATTTAAATTCAAGTTTTTTAAACCTTAAACAAACAACAATTATAAATTTATTCAATTCAAGTTCCCTGATAATTTTTTTTCTGAAAATCCGCGAACTATATATGGAAACCTGCTTTGCCGGTATAAAATGTTAACTTAATTATGTTCGCATTTATTCAAATGTTACTTATTTGCCTCGGAACAAATAAGAAACTTGTTATATCCAAGATTATGAAATTGTGAGTAAAATTTAAAGATAAAAATTCTTTCAAAACTGAATAAATGTTTTGCTTTATCAATAAAGGTTCCAAGAAATGACCATTTCTAAAATATTTGAATAAACAGTTTTTCTCTGCAAAACTAATCTGATTGAAAACTGTTCTAAGAAAATTCAATTTTTTCATTTAGTTTAAAACATTAAATAGGAGATTAAAACTTATTAAATTGAAAAATTTAATTACACAGTTGAGCATTGTTTTAAGACATAAATCTGAAAATCGTGATCAAATGACAAAAAAGCTGAAAAAAACCTTTAATCAATTCTTTTACAACATCTGTAAGTTATATTAGAGCTTACACGGTCAACTCTAGACTGAAGGAGAAGGTCAAACTCATGCGACTTTACTGCTACGACTTTGTGACCTCAGAGCTCCACTAGTTTTGATTTTAATCACAAATATGAACAAAGCTTATTTTGTCACATATTAGAAATTCAAAACATTTTTTTCTTAGTCATTCAAAATCAACTTAATAAAGTATACTAGACTTACTGACTGTTAAACCAAGATATTTGAATCACTCTGTACAATGCACTAGGAGTAACCTTTATTGTACATTCAAAATCAACTTATTAAAGTATACTAGACTTACTGACTGTTAAACCAAGATATTTGAATCACTCTGTACCATGCACTAGGAGTAACCTTTATTGTACATTCAAAATCAACTTATTAAAGTATACTAGACTTACTGACTGTTAAACCAAGATATTTGAATCACTCTGTACCATGCACTAGGAGTAACCTTTATTGTACATTCAAAATCAACTTATTAAAGTATACTAGACTTACTGACTGTTAAACTAAGATATTTGAATCACTCTGTACCATGCACTAGGAGTTACCTTTATTGTACATTCAAAATCAACTTATTAAAGTATACTATTCTTACTGACTGTTAAACCAAGATATTTGAATCACTCTGTACCATGCACTAGTTGTAACCTTTATTTAGCATTGCACATTTTATTTTTTTGATGTTTTTCTTACTTTCTATATTTCTCATAGACAGTTCTTGCGGAAGAAAAAGAACAAAGAGTTCAAAACAATATACAATGTTTTATTTATTAGATTTTATCGTTTTCACATCTACGTACTACGTATGTTGACATGTTGTCGATGTAGGCAAGTATAATTAATTACAATTAGTATTTCAAATGTTTTGTATTTTCAACATTACAGGCACAGTGAACTGAATTATCCACATTCGGACTCGAGAATCTATCATCAGGATTATGCCAAATACGCTATTAAAACGAGAGTGTTAAGATAGAACCATTCATATCCAGGGCTTCTAAATAGCATTATAATCATAAAAATCAAATTTCTTCAAAACGATAAGAAAAAAGGACATAGCAATAATGGAAAAAAGTTTCTAATAACATTGGGTTAAATTTAATCCAAACAATTATGCTCTTTTTAGATTCCAATTATCTTACGCATACAAACATTAGACTATAGTGAGATGTTTTCAATAGAAAATCTATCTCAGGCGGTTCGGCTATACATGTCACGTGAACTAGACAGCAGTACACTGATGGTACGACTTTTAGACCTAGGCTGAGCAAAGAAAAGGAATTTAGTTTTGCCACAAATTCAACTTTTCTAATCTCTACTTCTTTGCAACCTGGTGGTGTACACTTTTGAGATTTTAAACCTAGATTATTTGATCTGACTGAAATAATAGTTTGAAATATCTAGGCTCTGCGACGTTGGGGTACAAAGATATAGGGTTAGAAAACTTGAGTTTGTGGTAAATACTCAATTCCTTTATCCAATTACAAATTAGAAATTCAAAACATTTTTCTTCTTCTTTAAAAAGATAAAGTATAATTCAATACGTACTAGATTTTAATATTATACGTACAATTTACTTTATTTTGACATGATGATGTAAGAATAGTATGTAAACTTAGTAGAGCACAGAATTTTGCAATTTATATAGCGTTTCAGTATTAATTTCATCATTTATATATATAACGTTGTAATCTCTGTTTATCTTTCTGTCTGTCTGTTTGTTTGTTTGTCCGATCATAACTCTGGACCAATTTGCCTCAAATGTTGATTTGGCAACTCAGGAGACCAACGGGAATGATCTTAGCTTGATTTTGAGATTCTAAGTTGAGTCGGTCGACTTAAATAGCACAAATTTAGTGTTAAGTGATTCCAGGGACCAGAATCACTTTGTTGATTCCAGGGACCGGATTTCAGTTTCCAGTTCCAACCAAAAACATAGCGCTTGAGTAGAAAATTCTAGACACGTTCCGGGTTCTATTTCATTCTATTGATATTTAAACGATGATTATGCGAAATATTCAGTCATAGTTTTTGTCTTTTTTTACGTTAAAAATGAAGCGCTAGGTTAAATGAAATTCTTTTATTGAGTACTTGGTATTTTTCAGACTCAAGGAATAGTTGATTTGGTTCAGAAAGACGGAATACAGATTTTCTTTCCTATAAATCGTCGGAGACGGATTAAGGTATTTTTAAAGATTAAATGTGAACATTTGGGGACAAATTCTGAAGATTTTAGTATTTTTATAGCTATCTTTGGTTCGTTATAGTTAAAGCAAGACGGGTTTTAGTTTTGACTTTATTAGACTCCGGGCGTCTTACTTTTTCTATTCTAACCGCTTTTATTTTATCATAGATTTGATGCTAGAGGGATTATTTCTTTAGTTTTTGAATCTGAGACCGTGAT